AAGTAATATAATTACTAGCGGAAGCGACGGGGAAACAGTGATGTCGAGGGAAATAGCGGCATTAAACCCTCGGCGTTCCTGTCGGGATCATCTGCTCAAGTTCCGCTGGCGACGTCAAAGAGGTTCCCTTGCCAAATCCTTGCTCGACACGAGGAAGCATAAACGGAAAACTTGAGCTCGGGGAAACATAAGCCTCGGCACGCATACAACGTACGGATGTTCAGGGAGGCAAGTAAGGGAGCTGTCACTTGACGCTGGGGGTATCGGGGCGGTGAGAGCATCACCGACGCCTCTGACAGCGAGCAACATGTTCATCTCCTTCCGCCTCGACTCCGGCCAAATAAACCGTGACAAATCCTCGCATAATGACGCTAATTAACGCGCCCGATTTCCTACGGCTTCCGACCCATGGGAGTCCCTTGGCGCGTCCCATTTCCTCAATCAACTCGCCTCCTCGCATCCTGAGCCTCTGGAGTAATAATCACGCACTTGAAGTTCCTCATCATCAATCCCTTGTTTATGTTCCCTCGGCTCTTCAAACGCAGGCAATTCAATAACGAACGCGACTCGCGTTTTGATACTCTGAAACAGAAGCCTCAACCTTTCAACAAAAAAATTTTCGCTCATCTTTTTGGGATCGATTTCTGCGGAGAAGGAATTTTGTTTTATTTTGAGACTTTCACCTCGAGTTAGACTCTTGCAGCTGTCATTAAAGGCACAATCATATCGAATACCCCCCCCCCCAAAAGCCAATTGATCCTTGCTCTTCCATTTACAGTACAGTAGTTTTAATTTTAGATTATTTTTCGTGGAGGACCAGTTGAGAACCTCTGCTCCATAAATTCGATACGGAACCGAAGGAGTTGAGATCTAGCGATGCTTTGAAAAATGAAGAGAAATCTTCAGAAAATATGTATCCTAATGGTCAGGATCGAAAACAGGGTGTACATGTTCCCACAGCTATCGGAAGGGGCTTGGAGAAGCGAATTATCTAACCATTGGTTTTGGTTCACGCATCGCCTACTTCGAATCAGACGAGAATCGACCAGTTTTATGGCCCTACGCGCTCCCTCACAGATCAGCGATCATCAAAAAAGGCCCTCGAAAAATGTTTCCAGGATTTTTTTTCTTCTTTTTTTTCGGCAGTGAACGGCGATCCTGTTTTGCCCGAGTGAGCTGATCGGCTTTCCTGGATCGGGATAACATTTTTTCGCGCAAGTCTAGATTAAACCTCTTGGGAGACGTGCGTACAAATGATCCAGGTTTATTTCCAGTCATGCTTTCTCTACCTTCCCCTTCGATTGAACATCATGCTCACATTAAAGTCCCTTTTTCTTCAACTTCACGGAAACAAAGCAATGGCTGCTGAAAAAACCGTCTTCGCTGGTTCAACCGTTAAAAAAAAAACTTGTTCGTTGGAAATATAGGTACAGTATACCCAATTCAGTCGTGTCGATTGCAAACCATGGAAAGAGCATTTGGTAATACTGTAGCAGTGTTGGAAGTCTATTATTGGAACTAAACAATTTCATCTAATTAAAAAAACGCAATGCATCCAGCGTTCCAAGAGCCACATACCTGATTCTTCGACGCGTACGTGTTCTACAGATATCATCTGCATTAATGAAAAAGTCGACATTAGCATGGGTACATGATATTGTATTATATTTTTTCATCAATTATTAGACCTAGTTATTAAATAAATCCAAGCAGAATAAACCAAACTGACTAAACTGATTGCACCACTATTTTTATGAATATAAGCCATATAAACGATAATTAGCCCTATTCACCAAGAATATATTTCTCGATACTATAAAACATCCCGTAATTTCCGCATGACCTTTGGATTTTATAAATGTGTGTCTTCCCTCGACGTTTCATTCATAATTTGAAATTTTCGCGAATGATAAGTGGTTGTCACAGCCTTTTAGATTATTCAATGAAATACTTTCCACCTCCGGATCGTTCAAAGAAAAAACGTCCAATGTTGATTCCAAAATTGTTTCACTCTTTCCTTCTGAAAATAAAAGCTATCTCGATTACACTCTTTGGTTTTTTTCTAGGGGGGGGGGGGGGTAATATCAGAAGGCACACGTAGTACTTTCGGGGAAACACGGGTATCAGGGAATTTGGTTCCTTTCGCCCAAGAGTGTAGGTTGGGACTGATACACCTTTCTATTTCCGCTGCGTATGAACCTTAATTAATTCGGAATTAGGCGGCGGACGATGGCCGATGAGCTAATGAGGAACTCGGAATCGATGATGGTGTTGCCTGTGAGAGCTGGAAACAAATTAGATGCTGCGCTCGTCGTGGTCACGAGCTTCTGTTTGTTGAGAGGCGCTATATTGCCTGCATTCATCGATGAGAAGAAGCGGGTGAACGGGTCCTGGCGGCGATATCCGTCCCGATGCGCGATTTAGGCCCCTCTTTTCACGCCGAATAAACATGGGGAGCAAACCTAATCCCTGCAATGCACAGCCGCTTGCCGCCGGAATTGAATTATAACTACAGGCTCGCAAATAAGCTCCTGGCGAAATTAATGACTCCGAAACGCTCGATTCGGAAGACGCGCTACGCTGCGTCATTTAAACAGAAAATCGCTGGAGGCGCTGTAGAGGCAATATTCGGCTAGGGATTAGCCTGACGAAGCTTCATCGGGTGCACAAAAAAAGGTCGATTCGAAGGACTGACGAAGTTCGACACGTGTCGGGCTACACGCGACGGAGGCTCGTCTCCCGAATGCATCTTACGCCCGTGACCTAGGCGCCAATAACGCGAATGAACTCGGCATTTAGAGTCTGATCGATCTTTATGCCCAATTCATGCCGACATGGTTGAGTGACGCTCATTGATCTCATCTCATTCGGACCGATGCCAATTTACTGGTCGGCACACTTCGTGGGGATGAGAGACTCCGGCTGCAGTTGCCGGTCGGAATTGAAAACCCACTCCGACAAGCCACGTTCCGCCGATCACGGTGGATAACTGTTGAACCTGGCGCGTTTTCACGCTTGTCAAATTCATGAAACATGCAAATCGTTCACATGGGTGCGGAGCAAACCCCCATCGTTTCGCAACCGAACTCTCTTGGTATCCGCACCCGGCTGCCCCCAGCGACAATGCCTCGTGGCGACAAAACAGCGCGGAAACAGTTTTAGGGCAGCCGAGCCCACCCAGGGATTCGGTCGCATGATCGCGCAAATTCGTCGGAAAACAGGCCATCAATGGAGTAATGATGAAAATTGGTTTAGACTGCAATCCTACCCCATCCCGCCTTCCGCGCCCCACGCCTCAAAATTCAAATGATATTTCGCCTTCATGGTTTTCTCGTCTTTTCCATTCATCGGAAAATATCCCATCTTTCTCCCACGGCGCTGCAATCATTGTTATTTTCATTCAGATGTGCCTTGTAATCTCCGAAAACTTAATTTTGTCACCGCATTTTCAAGTGCAATCTCGTGCAATTCCTTTCTGGCTGGTAAATCTAGTTTCCGGTCGGGCTTCGGTGTGCCCCGAAAAAGTAAATTAACCGAAAAAAAAAGGTTGGAACATCAAGAAACCATATATTGTACATCACGTTCAAAATTTTATAAAATACGGAACTGCTTCGATAAAAGACACGACAATTGTTGGTGCTGACGTTTTTGTTGTTCTTGCTCTCTACCGAGGAATCCAAACTTGTTATCCGGATTTTACTTGATTATTAGAAGTCAAGAATTTTTATAAATTCTTTAATCTGACAAAATAATCTATAAAACTGTTCAATGAGAAATTTTAATGATTTCAGCAAATAAAACATTGTCACCTCCCGAAAAATCTGTACTCATCAGTAAATTGATACAATTTTTTCAGTACTGTAACTGGGAACAATATTTTAAGAACCTCTTTAATTTAAGCAAGATGGACTGATACTCTTACTGAAGTGATAACAGGATTTTCCTCTACTTAATCCGATACGTCATGCTTCATCATTTACATATTATAATGATCAAAATCGGCTTTTTCTGATGACATCGGTGAAAATACATTGAGTCTTCGAATATTCGGGGTGAAGACAGAATGTTTTCCTCAGGATAATACATATTTGACGATGATTTAAAAAATCAAATGTACCGTGGTTCGTCCCACAAGAATCTGACGCAATTACAGCAATTTAAATCACTTTTAGTTGATACTCAGTATGTAACTCGAACGTCATTTTCCGTACGATTCAAAATAAACTAAAAAGAATTGAACCTCTAAGGGCAACGAACAAATTTAGCGACTTAATCCGCAAAGATAATTTGAATCCGAGTCACACCTACAGTAATTGAAACTAGTATGGCATTATGAAGTTTTAAATTTAATATTTGTTTGAAAATGTGCGCTTTCTATGATCCGCTATCCCGAGGGCAAATTCATGCATCAGCCGCGTCTACCTTTTCCTGAAAAGCTCGTCTAAGCACTCGAAATGAAGATAAAATCTCGAAATTTCAATTATCGTTGTGGTTTAAAATTGGGATCCTGGCATAACGGGAGGGTGACATGGTCTTATTTTCCGGAGCAGAGCATTTTCTTGAAAAGCGAAGACGGAGAAAGCCCCGCAAGTTTTTATTGAATTAGGTTGTTTGTGCCGGAAGTCGATGTTCAAGAAGCGGAGATTCTCTGGAAGACATGCAACGACGTTGTCGCGAGGAAGGAATTCTGGGCATTTCGTAAGATTTGATTCTGCGGCTCATTCATTCATTCATTCGCGGTGCGCTGTCTACACAGGAGATGAATCGGTCGTCACACCTATCGAGCTCCATTTGCTTCCCGTCGAACAATTAGAGCTCGTCGGGACTCATCCATCAACATCGCTCGAGAGACGGCGGATCGCTCATGTTGAATGAAGTGTCAAATTAAACTGACAGCAGCACGCTGTTTTCCGAAGGGTCGGGGGAAAAAAAGCTTTCCAGCCTCTAATTGACGCCGACCCCGCAACTACGACCAGGAAGAGAGCGGAAGAATGTCATACCTGCACTCGGACTTCGGGCAAGTTGACCTTCATGGCGAGCTCTTCTCGGCTGTACACGTCCGGATAGTGGGACTTCTCGAAGGCCCTTTCCAGTTCGTGCAGTTGGTAAGTCGTGAATGTCGTGCGGTTCCGTCGGTGCTTCTTCTTGACACCGTCATTGCTAGCGTCGCCCTGGCCGCAAACGTCGCTCGCGTCCTTGTTATCGTCGTCCTGCCAATCTTTCCCGCTGTCCTCCGGCGAACGAGGTGACGAAGTCGTCAGCCGCTTTTGTCCGCCTGCAACTGTCAAACGCCGGAACATTTCGGCTCAAACAACCGTGTTGGACGACAACCCATTGCCGGAAAATAAGCTTTTTTTCATATTTTCACACGGAGCCGAGACGGGAAATAGTCACCTGGACCTGAGTGAGGGAGGTTCCCAACGTGACGGCTCATGAATGGGTAATATTCCGCGTTTAAAACCTATTCACGAGTTGTGAGATTTCTCCTCGAAAGGCCGACGGCGGGGTTCGCCAAGCAGCCTGTTTTTATTTTGCACTCGAGCGCGATCAATCAGTTTTCCTTGCCTTTTTATCTTGACATCATCTGACTTTTTACGCGCTCGGGATTCTCATGCATGCATCGGGCAACAACAATTCACTTTTCTTCCCCCCAACGCGGGGCTCATTCAAGTCCCTGTCACATTAGTGAGAGACAATTAGGCCCGACCGCAAATCCTCCCACCTTGTCCATTATTGTCCGAAAATTTCAAAGCTCTTTTTTTTGTTTGTGGATGCCTGTCGATTGGCCGTTGACAGAACTGAATAAACTCTTTCGTGGTATTCGCAAGGTGCCTTCAGCATTTTGGGGCTTTATGCACTCGCAAAATGAGGCGTGGAAGCTATGCGGAAAACGACAAGATGTTACGCGGTCCTCGAAGGAATGTCTAACCGTCTAATTGTTCATCTGATAAGCGTTGGAAGGACGTCTTTAAACGCACTTCGAGCATTCTTGAGTTTTTTGGAATTCCGTATCCCCAGCAGACGTTTAGTCGCCAACCGTCGCCAATTTTCGGCTCTTTCAGGACTTATTAGGGCTCGTATAAAAATCAAGACTCTTTCGAATTCTTTCAACGACGCTTTGAATATACCCAAGATTTGTTCAGCGCGTGATTATTGAGGTCGTTTAACCGATGAAGTGAATTTATTCCTTCACCGGGGCCTTGAGAGACTGCATTCAGTTTCGAAAATCAATAATAATTTTTTTTCACAAACTTTACCGCGTGAAAACTGCATACAAAAACATCACGGAATGCCCACTTTTACGCTGATTGTTTGACGGAAAAAATCACGATTCCAACAGACTATTTTATTCGTAATGTAAATTCAACCAGAGACAAGATTCGGCTCGAGAATTATTATTAAATCTCAGTGTCGACCTAGGAAAGTGGAGACAGGAGAAACATTTCTCAGAAGAGACTTGCTTTTCAATGGGAAGTATGCGGACAAATATTCACCTCGATGACAGCTTTAAGAAGAGACGGAATACAGTGAGACCCCCACATGCAGACACCTCGACATGCAGACAATTCGACACAGGGACACTTATTTTCCCATAAAAATTAATAAAAAGGCCCAACATGAGGACACTGACTCAACATAGGGACTTGGAATTATGGTGAGTATTTTGTCCATAAAACACCAATTAAAAATATATAATGTAAGTCTAAGGGAGAACAAGACTCAACATTTTGACTTAGGGACACTCTCAATGCACCAATTACATTAGCATCTTGGGGTCTCACTGTATCTCTCACAAGCAATACTTGTGCACTCGCCCAATTATTTCCCGGCCGATTCATTGTCAGTTGTTAATTAAATTCAAAATGAGTATATCAAAGACAAACTGTACATAGTGACGAATGACCCCATGAACGTAGAAGGAATGATCGAAGTTCCTGCGAGATAACTTAATTCTGTTTGCAAATTTGTACTGGATAATATCTTTGTTCCTAAGTTTGGACATCATCGAGGCGGTTAGTTGAACATTAACCTAGATGAGCAAACTGGTCTGAAGGCTTAAAAATAAGATTTACTCGAAAGATTGTTGGCAACAACATTTGTAACGAACGACTCTTTCTTTAGTGCTTGATTGTAGATATTAATCCTGACTGAATTTGCTGCTTGGATCTTTGGTTATTTGCTTATAATTTCTACCCAATGGAAATTCAAATGTAATGCTGTACATTCATCGAAGAACGAAAAATCGATTGATGCACTAATATTTTAATTTCAGTTTAGGGGCCACCAGTTAGATTTTCCGGATTCTGAAATGGGGGGAGTGCAGTCCTCTTCGTTATTATTATGATAATTGATATTGACAATTTTCTAGAATGCAGTGAGGCATCTCAGTGATACAGTATTTTATAATTAAATCATCAATTTGACAATCTTTTGCCGTATTTATGAGAATTTAAGCACAGCACCGAACAAAACGATTCCTTTACGATTCTGACTTGAAAAATCGTAGTTAGTTTATATAGAGGGTGTAGGGGAGACAAAACTTGACCCCATTTGAAGGATTCATGGACTTGATTGAATGCATGATCTGATTTCCTATACAGTACTTGAGTACAGAGAACTGACAAATGAGAGGCAAGGCATCCAGAGACTATTCTCCCGATTATTTATTCACTTTTTAAATCAACTAGATAGTCATAATGCTCCTTACAAGCTCACTTCAACGTGAAGAATGCGAACCTTGATTCGCATATCTTCTCTTCATAAATTTTTTGTAATGAGATTTATTTCTGTGTGATGGATGCAGATTTTAAAATGCTCATTGTGTTCTATCCTACGTAATAAACTTCCGTAATGGAGTATCTGGCATTTTGTGTTGAATGCGACGATGCAAATACGATTTGATGGCTAACCTTTTATCTATTCAGGGCTAGCGTTTTAGAGCCGATGGCGTTATTTGGAATTTAAGGAAATACAGTCCAGCTACAGTAACGCATGCAGCTAGGGACAGCATTGTATAGCATTTCGGGCATTGAAGTCACGATTAGCCGTGACTTTGATTATTTTGATTATGTATCGTGTTCTGAGTGTTGGAAAATGATTATCGGAAAGTACTTTTCAGGATTGCAATAATTTTCCGAATGTACTCAATGTATTTTTATTTGAAGTCCTTCTACAATACAGAACACTGTTTCATAAATGCGCTCCTCATAGATTCAAAAGCATATTACTGCATCACATGAGCTTGTTGTACAGTAAGCTATTTGTCATGTTCGTGATTTTTAATGAGCCTAAAGAATCCAACCGGTCACGAGCTCGGTTAATCGAATTTTAACTGTTATTTGTTCTTCAATTACGTCATTTTTCAGACGATGATCCCGACAGGAATAAGCTAAAATTACTCATTTGTAACATTTTACTGCACAGTATTTGTGGCTAGTTGTCTTTCTGCCAAGGTTACAATTGTGAGCTGAAAAGATAAATTTAGAAACATATCTTAAATGAAGGAATAAGAAAAGCCATGGAGCGTCTAGACCAATGTTCCCCAACCTTTTTGGGCTCACGAACCGGCAAATTGCCTTACAATTTTTGCGGACCGGCAAATTTTCCAAAAATGTTTCGCAGACTGGCAAAGTTTTTCAAGATTTTTGCAGAAAGCTTTATGGCAGGCATTTAAAAAGTTTCTGCTTTTTTGAAAATTCGAGATCCAATGAAGCAGGTGTATAGTGGAATGTTTTCAAAAAAACTAGAAAGGTGGGGTTGAAGAAAGGTTTCTCGGACTGAAATGAGTAAAATAATTTATTTAAAGTGTAATTAAGAGAAACCCCAACTTAGGTTTTCTTTAGATAATTTCAACTACCATTTGTTTTTCCGAGTTTTCAGATGAAGATAACAGACCTCATTGCTACTTTTCTCAATTTATTATGCTGCAGAATATTTCCCGCGGACCGACAAACAACTTCTGCGGACCGGCGCTGGTCCGCGGACCATGGGTTAAGGAATGGTCGCTGCTCATATTCTATGTCTTATTGCATGGGGAGACTGTACGGCGTGGAAATCTTCCTGATCAATTATTGCCACAACCGGGAAGAAAAAATACAGTACACACGTTTAATTTGTTTTCTTCGATTCCTCGATTCAATCTGCAGTTGACATTTAAAATGGTTACAGAATCTGCGTGGGACGTCGAGCAAAAGCGAGAAATAACTTGAGTGACGTGCCGTCAAGAGAATATGAGAAAGAGAAATTGCTCGATTAAGCCGCTTACGACCAAGTCCCCGAGGATCCACGAAATATTCAACGGCTTTCGAACCCTTAATCGAGAAACTTGATTGGATGTCTAACTGGGGCGCGGATTGTCCCGACAGCAACACGCTTTCCAATCGAACCGATTCGGCGACGGCCAACATGTGCGTGGCTGAAAAATCCTGCGATTCATTTCGATATTCCTTCTCTGGTGGCTGCCTCAGCGATTCCGTTCATTTCATAGCAGATTTACGTCGCGAGAGAAATTGGTTTTTCCCCCGGAGACGAGGCTGACAAGGTTCGGCGGAGATTCTTTGCGGAATTGCGCGTCCGGTTTCCAAACGTTTCGTTGTTTTCTGCAGTTTATGGGAGCGAATCTGCAATGCGATACCGGCATTTTTTGCGGACATAGATCCGACCACGACGGATCACTCGTGCTTCGCGCATTGTTCTTCTAGTCCTAGTGATCGCATCTTTAAGCCGCGTTAACGTTGAGCAGTTTGCTGTTACATCGCATTTGTTGTAAGAAGATTGCTTACCGTACTTTTCAGAGAAACGAAAAAGTAAAAAGGAAATTTAGCGCGACAGCGATTTCCGAAAGATTGATGACTGAATGAGGCCAATATTTTCGAAACTCTTCGGAAATTCCACATAAGCTATTAAAAGCAAAGCCCTCTTCCTGTTGAAACTATTCGAGCTCTATTCGATGTACAGTACTGTATTTCCAGACTGTTGGGACTTCAAGTAAAATAAATGATAAAAAAAACTTCAAGAAAGGCACCCAGAAAAGGAAAATATCTAAATCTGGTTTGATCAGTAATCTGTATTTTGGAACGTGGAAAAATCAACCCACTCCAAAAATTCTGGGAATACAGTATTTCGTACAGTATGATAAAACCGTTCCTTGGCAACGGAAATTTAACGATTCTAGTTTCAAATATCCCTACCCTTTTCTTCTCATTAGCGTTACAAGATTTAATTTTAAGTGATTCACGGAGTTGGAACGTCAAAAATGGAATGAAACATACTGAAAAATTGAGCCGGGATGCGGAAGTGA